TGAGCTAAATCCCCAGCCCAATGCTTTTAAGAAACAAACATCAACTTTATGGACCAAATCTTACTTACAAAGCCATTTTGAAAAAACTAACTTGGTACTGGACCTAGCACATAGAGCCTGCCTAAGACAAGAAAACTTTCTTTCCTTTTTTGTTTTTTTGTTTTTTGTTTTTTGAGACAGGGTTTCACTATGTAGTTCAGGCTGGTCTTAAATTCACTATATAGCCCAGGCTGGCCTCAAACTCATGGTGATCCTCCTGCCTCAGCCTCCCAAATGCTGGGATTACAGACACACACCACCACATCTGGCTAAGAAAAAATTTTTGAAGCCATAATGCTGCTGATGTCGGTTAATATCATTTGATAAACATACGATTTCTGCATAAGTATCAAGGGTTCCTATTTTTAGCTCGAGTGAGATTAACTTTCCTTGCTGACACTTCTCCACAATGTTGTTTACAACAACATGACACTGTGACAAGTCATATCATTTCCATAAAGCATGCATCTGTCTTCCCATGGCTACTCGCACCTTCCCAGTGTGCATGCACAAACTCCTCCTAAGCCAAGTGACAGCGACAGCACCACTGGTCCTAGCAAAGACAGTGCCACTGGTTACTGTGCTGCCCACATGCAAATCTCCTGGGCCCCTGCACTTCAAGTTCCTGGTCTGGGAGGAGAGGAATCAGACTAGAGGAGCTCTCAGGTCTCTTCAGATAGGTTTTACAGCCCCACAGCCACGCCTTTCTTCCCTCTAAGGAGAATTTCATTAGTCATGACCCCCACGAATCAGGGCAAAATCTAAAAACTGAGGTCATTTGCAACAGCATGGACAGAGCTGTAAGGTCATTATGCTAAGTGGAATAAACCAGGCATGGAGACAAATGCCTCCCCATCTCACCTGTGTACAGATTTTTAAAGAGCTGATGGTAGAATGATGGTTCCGAGGGGCTGGGAGGACAGGAGACGGAAGAAAGGGCAGAGGTCTATGAGTACTGAGTTTTATACCGGTGGGGGGGGGGGGGGTCCCGGCTACTGCACACCAGGGGCCCTGTAGATAACTGTGATGGTCTGTATGTTTCAGGACACTAGAAGGAAGGAGTTCAAATGTTCTCACCATAAAGAAATAACAACTGTTGGAGGAAACAGATATGTTCAACCTGATTTAAATATTAGGCAGTGTATACACGGATCAAAATATCACACAGGACCCCCTAAAAACTGTCAAGAGAAAAAAGACATTAAAAGAAAATGAAATGAGATGAAACATAACAGAGACTAAAATAGATTTACCTTACTGTGGACCTTACTGTGGATAGATATCAAAACATAAGATTTTTCAGGAAAAAAAGTAAGTTGCAATAAACAAACCTCCCCCACTTACCTCCAATTTGAACAATATCTCTTAGGTATTTCATTGACCTTGGCATGTCACATAATCATTGCTTTCAACCTCAGAGTTGAAGACCTACTATAATTAGGCATTGTGTTCGGCTCTGAGCTTGTCCATGCAGTCCCGGGGCTTGGGTCTTTCTCTAACTATCTTCTTTTTTTTTTTGGTACCGGGGATTGAACTCAGGTCCTTGAGTTTGCAAGGCAGGCGGCGAAACCACTGAGCTAAATCCCCAGCCCTCTCTAACTATCTTCTACATTCCTCTCCAAGTCATAGGCTTTATAAAAGAGAAACTGCTCTGCACTGTCCTTTTTCCACCTACGGAAGTGATGGAAGGCCCTTTGCCAGGTGGTTCACCTTTCTTGCCCTGTCTCTGTTCTTTACCCTCTCCTGGGACCTGGGTTCTCAGAAACCTCCCTGAGCTCTCCAAAGGACAACCTCATTGAATGGACCATATGCTCTTCAATTCCACTGCCCTCACAGGCCATTCCATCTTCCCAAGTTACCTTCACTGTCTTGTTCTACTCGCTCAGCTCTTATTAGATCTTCAACTACCGAGCACGATTTCAACTCTTGTTTGTTTTGTTGTTTTGTTTTATTTTTTCAGTACCTGGAATTGAACTCAGGGCTTTGCGCTTGTGAGGCAGGTGCAGCGCCACTGCCCTACATCCCCGGCCCTATGATTTCAACTCTTTGAGGAGACTCTCTTAGTCCATTTTCTGTCACTAGAACAGAATAGCTAAAACTGGGTAATTTGTAAAGAATAGAGGTTTATTTTGCCTAACACTTTCAGAGGGTGGTAGGTCCCAAAGTGTGGCATCAGCAGGGGCCTCACAGATGGCAGAAAGTGGAAGGTCAGGCATGCATGTGGGAAGAGACAAAGCACTGGCCAGCCTCAATTTATAACAACCTGCATGAGGCCACTAATCCAGTCTTTTAAGAACTCATGCTGGAGAGAAAGGCATTAATCCCTCTTAACAATCTCATCCCCTCTTAAGGCCCCCTCTCAATGCCACCACCGCTGCAATGAGATTTCAACACGAGTTTCAGAGGAGCCAAACCACAGGGAAGGTGAGGCCTGAGGCCAGAGACTGGAAGGTCATCTCCATATTCACACCGACAAGTCTTCCATCGCCTGCATGCTGCCCTCTATGCCACCAAATCCTTCCACTCAATAGCCCCAGTGTCCAGCCAGTATGTGCTCAAATAAATTTTCTTGAAAGCATAAACTTTAAATACATAGCAAGAACACTTCAGAGCTGAGGGTGTGCACTTCCTCCTGGTGACACAGAAGCCAGCACATGGTATTAGCGGCAGTGACGTTAGGTTTAGCTACTTTGTTAAGGTTGTGACAAATCAATCTTTGTTTTGAAGGTCAGTTTCCCCTTCGAATTTAGCAAATGCTACTGAGGAGAGAGGAGTGATATTTTAGCACAGGAAATCTAACCCGTTCCCCCCAAAACATACCTAATGTCTTTTACCAACTGTTTTATTACCTGTTGATAATGCGGTAGACAGTTATTGCAGTGAGGTTTGCAAAAGGATGATTTTATTTGAGTCTATAATTTCTTTGATATGTGATTTGTGAAAAAATAATTTTCTCTCAACAATAGGCATGAATTACATATTCTTGTTTAAAGGGTAGAAAAATGCTTAGTCTTCTTTTTAATTATTCATTTCAAAGTAAAGTATTAGTGTAACAACTACCTCCATAAATGACAACTGAGGATTTTTTAATTTATAATTATCTTGATGGCGGATAGTTTGTTTCTATAAATGTGCTACCTTTCAACATAGGGGCGTGAAGAAGGTATTGGATTAATATATATCATATGAATCCATCTATATAAAACATTGGATTCAAATGCTAGGGCTACAGCTTGTGAGCCTTGCGACCCAAAGCAATCTATTTAAACTCTTTCAGCCTCATGATTCATTTGCCATATATTTTCCCTGACAGCTATTAAATGCTATTATTGAGAAATGGAGTTTTTAAGGCTAGAATTCTACTTGGAGCCTCCAGAAGCTGTAAGTTACAGAGCCTGCTGCTGCTGCTAAAAGATTCATAAAACTTCCACAATGGCTTCATGAAAGAGAAAAAGGCAAAATTCCATAACACATGATAACAATTATGCATTTTAAGAAATACAAAACAATATGAGATCTTGTGTGTGAAGAGAGACAGGTAGATGTAAAGCTAGAGATGTGCTGGTGGCTGCCAGGAAAGGAGAAAATCTATTGGGTAGCTAGGTCTCACTAAAAGAGTTCCTGCGATGTATCCTCAGGAAATATTTCAAAAGAAAGAACACTAGTTTTTGGCAGTAATCACCACAGAGTTATTTATCATTAAAAAATGATAAACAACCAAAGCTTCAAAATTATAAGCACAGTAAAGAAAATTATGGCAACACTAACTTGAAAGAACAGTAGATGAGATATTTATAGGACCATTATGAGACGGTATCAGCATAAACAGATTTAAGACACATTAGTAAATAAAACTGACATACAGGAATGAAGACACCGACCATGATGTATCGATGTGACAGCACCTGACAGAATTGTGATTGCTGGCCACCTCCCTGACACATGCTCCATCTCTGCCTCTCACTGGCTCCTTCTCCTCCTCCTCCACCCTGTCGCATCCGGTCTCTTCAGCCCCACCCTCTCTCATGCCTGAGTTTCATCCACTTCCCCCAACTTGGACTCTGTCCCCACGTGTATCTCCATGAGACACAGGTGATCCATCGTGGGCTGGGACTCAGAGCTGTTGCTCCAGTGTGACATCCCTGTGTAAATTCAGTCTCCCTCCAGGGCAAACTGCTACACACAGTGGCCAGAGCTCATTATTCACGCTATCCCTTCACCACATTCCGTTCATCCGCGAGCCGTAGTGATTCTTGGACCAAAATGGACCCTAAAATCATCCACTCCTCTCCTCTTCCATCCCCACTACCCTATCCGAGCTGCTGAGTCTCATCTGCCTTACAGTAACAGTTTGCACCCTCTTTAACCCATCTGTCCCACACCAGCCATTTCCTTCTTAAAGAAGGATGATTACGATCGTCCTCATCCTGAAACTCTTCAATGTCTCCACTCTACATAAGACGGACTCCGGAGCCTGCTGCACCCTGGGAGCTGCCACCTGCAGCTCCCACAGCCCTTGGTGCCCTGTCCCCTCAGTTCAGCATCGTGGGCCTGAGGACAGCTCTCATGCAGGGATGGATCCCAGAGCCTCACACATGCTAAGCAAATAAATGCTCTCCCCCGACCTCCAACCCCAGCCCTTATAGTTGAGTATTGCAAATGTTATTAAAACAAGAAGAAGCAAACAGCAAAATTATGAAAAGCACAACCTTAAACTTTCTTAGTAAAAACCTGGCATTATCTGAATGTGTAAGTAGTCTTAGAATAGAGAATACTGAAGTCATGTTCCTAAAACAGAAATGATACAGAGTAGATTAGTCCAGTTCCTGCAGAAGGACAACACACACATTCATGAAGTATTCTACGCATGTTAAGAAAAATCATGCTAACTTAAAGACCATGCTGTTTGGTCTTCATTTATTACAACCTGCACGGAGCCCACAGCAAGGCATTCAGCTTACCTTTGAGCCTGGAGGGGGAGCCAAACCAAGGAACGAATAAATAATATTCTCTTCTTTGGCAGAGAAGAAAGAGTCAAAATCCTTAAAGCAAAGAAAAAGAATGTTTAGATGCATTGCACACCTGCGAGCCAGTTCATTTACCTAAACTGATTCTTTTTACTCATTGGTCATTAAGTTAAGGCTAATACAGAAAGTGCTCAGTTTGCTTTGTCAGAGATAACTAAACCCAAAAGTTAAGAAATCTAACCTCAACTTTATTTTTATACTCTTTCATTGTGCTTTACAGCATCATGAGAACTCATACACCCACACACAACTGCTCATGCTCAGTAACTGCCGGTAAAATCCAAATATTTGCAGTTAATGGTTTTTCCAAAAGTTTTACATCTTTAACTAGGTGACTAGTCATTTGGCGCTATAGATCTGGACCCTGCTCAGCCCTGACTGAGACCCACAGGACAAGGCATCCCTACTGCAATCGGAGACCAATGTCAAGCTCTTCCGACACCAGGAGCCCCGGGATCACAGAGGACTCTGAGCGTGGAGGACTCAGAGCCAGGCCTGTCTTGCAAAGTGGGAAAAACTACAGAGGACCTGAGACCCCAGGCGCAAAGTGGAATCTCCACCCCGCAGGCCCAGGTCCACTCTCCAGCCCTGGGATTTTCAAAGCTGGGAAGAGTTTGGGTTTGTATAATTAAAGTGCCATGAGGTGATCTCCACAGTGTTGCAAAAGGCTCCCAGGAGAGCAGGAGGCTCCTACTGTGTGTTAAGCAGCTCGGAACCAAACCTAGCCCACAATGAGTAGAGCATGGCATAGATCCCTCTCTGAAGCTTCATTATTTTCCTATCCGTTCCCTGAGTCTCTTACTGATTAATTTTGTCCTTTTGTACCAAATGCGTGTTTGGAAGCTGCTTCAGATCTCAGCCGAGGGGAATGTAGCACCAGGGAGAAAAGCAGGGACTTGGGCATCAGAAATTCCAATTGATTCCACAGCACATGCTTTCTAGATGTGGAGCCGGAGCCCCTGTTCATCCTGTCCCCAGTCTTCATGTCAGTGGCACCCAGAGCTCACACTAGAGCTTCTGCATGGCCCTGACCAGAGTTATTCTGAGCTGAAGATTTTAGTGTCTGAAGCACTAAGATAACAGCCTGAGGTGTCCATGGAGTTTTTCATCAGTCTATCTGAAACCATGAAGTACAATGGCAATGATCATAAAACTCTGCTTCTGAAAACACCAGCTAAACAATTTGCCTGGAAGGAGAATTTTGTGATATTGCTATTTCACCGGAAGATGTGAAATGCAGAACACATTCCGCCAGCAGCATCTATTTTAGGAAGCTTCTGAAGAATCTTGAGGTGGGAGTAGAGATAGATTTGTGTTGTCCTGATGTATCTGACGAGGGCCCGGATGACACATATAAACCAAAACTCTGTGTGAAAGGCAGCTGTTACCTTAATGATATCACTGGGTCAGATTCTTAGTGTCTGATTTTTTTAACAATCTCTGTTCTCAGAAGCAAGAAGTAGCTGGATTTGATGAAAATGATGGCCCAAGAAAAAGCAAGTACTGTATTGCCTCAAAATAAACCACCCCGTGGAGATGCTGCCGACACTGAGGAGGACGAAGAGGAAGAAATAGAGGATCAGGATAACCATCTTCTGATGAGAAGGTAGCTGGTAAGTGCACACACCCCAGGAGTTCAGAGGACAGCAAGTTGCCTAGGACCACAACCGGGTTCCCAAAGCTATTTCTGAAAGAGATGGGCAGTACAGAAGTTAGAGAATTAAACTGCTACATCCAGGATCCATGGAACCCATAGTGGCTCCAGAATTAAAAGCTGTGGGGTCCGAGACCCTTGAAATCTTAACACTTAGTGATGAATGAATGAAGTGAAAAATGAAGGGATACCAAGCTGGACAAAGGGCACAGTGACATGGGAGCTGCCTGCCCATCAAGCGGTGCCAGGACATTTCCCAAGGAGAGCAGACAGAAGAGGCATAAAAACCACATGGAGGACAGGCCAGCTGTTTGTGAAGGGGGCACCAAAGGTCTCACTTCACGGCCCACCTGGGGACACCTAAAACCCACACTCGAGTGGCATCAGAGCCCTGCACCTGTCCAAAAATCACTTCATGGCCCAGACTTGAAGAACGAGAGAGTTCATGGTGATAAGAGACACTCACACACACCTCTGTCTATTTTCAAGGACTGTGGAAGGGGACAGAGGGGGAAAGCCTTCCTTGTGGGGCCTCTGACCTGACCAGGACCGAGGGGCTGCAGGCAGCAGTGACGGCCACTGAGGCAGAGGGGAGCTAGAGCCACAGCCCGTGACCAGGCGGAGTGGGACAGGAGCTCTGAGCAGGGAAGAGAGACCGAGGTGGCACCGATTGTAACCGATGAACGCCTGGCACTGTGCCTTTGTGGAAACACACACAGTGCCTCTTGGACTTGAGGCAGCACCTGGCTAGGTATTTTTAAAAGCTTGAGCATTGTAAGTTCTGGAAAGTCTGATTAGATAAAGATAAGTGGATTAGATACAGGGGGTGATCAAAATACACAGTAAATATTTAACTTTAAAAATCTATTATAATAAAGACATAGAGAAGACCCAATATTAGCCAGGCACAGTGGTGCACACCTGTAATCCCAGCATCACGTGAAGCTGAGGCAGGAGGGCTGCAAGTTTGAGTCCTGCTTGAGAAACATAGGAGAACTTGTCTCAAAATAAAAATAAAACGGTCTTAATATACATAGCGCAGTTGGAGGCCACAGAGCTGCTCCCTTCCACTCCCCTCCTCTCACGTGAACCCGGGCAACATCCAGGGCCAACCCCACCACTCTTGTCCTTGGCTTCATACAGGATGGCAGAGATGAGGGAAACAAAGACCCACCCCCCACAAGCCTGCCTGACAATTCCACAATTCCAAACCAGGACAGGGCCGGGGATCTAGCTCAGTGGTTCTGCCACCTGCCTTGCAAGTGCAAGGTCCCGAGTTGGATCCCCGGTATCAAAAAAAAAAATGTGGACCAAACCAGGATGCACGCAGGCCATACCCCCTGCATGAGCTACAGTAACTTTCTACCCCTGGAGCTCACTGAAGGCTCGGGCATTCGGACTGCACTTCACACATCCAATTACCACAGAGTGAACCATGGGAAAGGACTCACAAAACAGGTGCAGCTGATGAGGCTCAGCACTCTGTCAGTCACACCGTCAGTCATGCTCTGGAAGCCCAATGGGGGCAACATGTTAACCCTATGCCCTGTACCACCGGTGCTTGTACAGTTTTCCTTTTGCTGGTGCAAAGAAGCCTGCTCACTCCCAGCATATGATCACCTCAGTAAACTCTGCTGCTGCTCTCTTGCCATCCTGTGCCACATCCAATTCTTTGTTCCTCCCACACAAAAGCCCAGGAACCCACCCTGGACCTCATCACCCAGGGTAACAGTCTGGGGTTCAGTGTAGAGTGCTTGTGTAGAATGCACACAACCTGGGTTCAATGTCTAGCACAGCAAAGAAAAAAAGAAAGAAAGAAAGAAAGAGAGCGAAAAGAAGAAAGACAAAAGATTATTTTCGTTTTTTCAAATTGCAATTACATCTGCACTTTATATCATTTGCAAAAAAAAAAATCAACTATATGGGCCGGGGATTTAGCTCAGTGGTTCTGCCGCCTGCCTCGCAAGCACAAGGACACTAGTTTGATCCCTGGTACC